TAGTTTGTTCTTCTCCCCATTTCAAAAATGGATTCATCCAATCAGGAAAAAAAGTTACCCTACTATTTGTAGATGATTCTAAGGCTTGAAAGGGGAAAGGGGAAAGAAAGGGATGGAAAAGCTCCAAGTCCAGTGGTGCAGTGAATCTTTTGTGTCTGAGTCTTTTTTATACCTTATTTCTGAAGCTAGTGAACTTTCATTGTTCTGTGGCTTCATATTTATAGAGCTTCTTAACTGTTTTGTACCTCAAGTTGTTTTTACATATCATTGAAGATTGAGATCTACAAATTATGTTGACTTTAACCTTTTTCCCTTGGAGAAATTGCCTGATATCTTTCTAATTAATCTTAGTGTGATCTAGGAACAGTTTTCCCTAAGAGGACAACTTCTCAGCGATCATGATAGTTTAGTGAGAAATAATGATTGTTAATCAAGTACATGTATGTCCTGTCCTTCTCTGATTTCTCTGACTCTGATTCCTTAATTTGCAATGATGTCTTAGAAATGGAAAGAGTATTCTCTGGGCTTTTAGTCTTTCAGTAACAACAGCCAGTGGGGCACCTCTAAATTCTAGTGTGTTCTAGTCTCTTGTGTGTCCTGAAAGGCAGCAGGAGCATTTCTGGGGTCAGACTGATATTTTGTTAAAGCAGAGTTTCCTGCATGTTTTATGGTGCTGCTCTATAAGATACTTTCTCTTTAAAACTGTAAGTTCTTGGAGAGTGAATTTTTCTAGCTTTTCATTGTGGAGGGTTTTTCCCACAAGGAAGTAATGGTCAATGGATCAAAATAGTGTTTCCTAAATAATTACATTTTCAATGTCATAGTCTGTGGAAATACTACTCCTTCCCCTCCATGTCTGTCTTCTCAGATGTTTTGTCTGCATCATCATCTCCAGCACATACTTTGGACTCCTCTTGCAGGTCACCATTCCTCCCTCCTCAATAGATGTCCTCAGTGTTTTCTAACCATTTAAAACTGAATTTGACAAATGGCTAAAAACTTACTTAGTCTGAGACTTGTACTTAATATATAATGAATTATAAAAATCACAACTATTTTAACAGTTACTCTGTTGACTGCTCTTTACGACCACACCTGTATGCCAGGAGGCAGCAGCCTATGCCATTGGACTCTTTACAGGCAACCAATGAACCTATTGCGGTGAATGAAGTTGTCCCAGCAGTCTTGGCTGGGCTGGATTGGGCTGTCAGGAACACTCTCCTTCAGGCGATCCAAGCTTCCACAGCTCAGCCCAGCCTCCAGTCTGGCTGGAGAACATCCAGCCCATTCCTTGCCTCAGTACCACCTTTTTCTGGGCAAGTAGCCAAGAAGTTACTATAAGCAGTGAGTACTTCAGATAAATTTACAGTTATAGACCGGGCATGGTGGCTCATGCCTGTAATCCCAGCACTTTGGGAGGCAGAGGCAGGAGGCTCGCTTGAGGCCAGGAGTTCAAGAACAGCCTGGGCAACATAGTGAGACCCCTGTTTTTACCAAAAAAAAAATGTTTTTATTTAATAACAGCTATAGCTGCTGAAAAGTGGAAAGGTTGACCACCACTGATTTAATTATCCAGTGTAAAAACAATTTAGAGTAATGTGTGCACCTGCCCACACACGCCTGGATTTCAGAGGAGCTCTTACACTGGTGGATCCATAGGCATTGGGGCTGCACTTTGAATGACACACTTGTGGCTTTATTAGATTCACTGTTTTTTTAATTGTCGTTTGTTTCTTTTCATGAAAAACTTAATCAGCTAGATGAGAAAGCATCATTTTGAATTTAATGACAGAAATATTGGTATATTAACTTTTTAAGAATGAGCTTGCATTGTGAGGCAAGCACCTACAAAAGGCACCTGTTATAAATGAAAGTTTTGGCTCTGGAGGCCAGTACTCTGGAGTTTCAGAGCAACTGATGATCGTTCCAATCAGTGATTCCTAGTTATATAGAGGAGAAGTACACTGTGCACTCTTCTAGGTGTGAGGGTATGCAACTTTGGATCTTAAAATTATGTACACATACACACTTTATATATATGTATGTATGTATGTATGAAAACATGAGATTAGTTTGTCAAAATGTGTGTGTTTAGTATTTTAGCTTAGTGCAACTGTTTCCACATTATTTATTAAATTGATCTAAGACACTTTCTTGCTGACACCTTGAATATTAATGTTCAAGGGTGCAATGTGTATTCCTTTAGATTGTTAAAACTTAATTACTATGATTTGTAGTAAATTAACTTTTAAAATATATTTGAGCCCTTCTGTAGTATAATAGGGCTATTACAGGGTGGGACGGATTTTAATTATCCATTTGCTAATTGAACAAAATGGCCTCATTATGTATTTTGATTTATAGGAGTTTGTGTCTGGGTCCCAGGAACACCTACTGGGGTGGCTATTTTAGGCAGATTGTGATGATTTTTTTTGATCAAACCTAAGTAAGTTGGGGAGCCAGAGCATTTCAAATCCATATAGACTCCTATAACTCATTCCTTAATACGTGGAACACAGATTTCATTTCAACTGTATCAATGTGTTGGAGAGGTAGCCTTTTTTCCAATAATAATATTGCACATCTAAGGTTGCTATTTAGCAAAATCAATAGAAGAGATAATTATTGAATGACTAGGAATATGTAGTGACAAGAGACCAAATTGTTCATGTTTTGTGAGCATATTCTTCACATACTCACTAATAGAGAAATTCATTTTAGACCTCTGGACCCTAAAGCCAAGCTGGCAAGTGACAAGAAGACAGTTATTAATAGTTGGTAAAGCAGATGCTGGTCTTACTAAGCACCTATTCACAGGAACTTGATAGTTAGTTAAAAAGAACTTGCGGTCTCCAGAGAAGAGAATGGAAAAAGTAGCCAAATCTCTTATTTTCATGGAATTTGCTCACAGAATAAGGTATTTGAGTTAAGTCTAGCCCAAGTCTTAGAAATCTTTCAGCATCCTAAAATAGCAGCCTAAGTAGTCATCATGTAAAGAAGTTGACTTTCAGGAATGTCAGCATTGACCTCTCCTTGCTACCATTACTCAGCTAAGTATAACTTGCCATTCTCAAAACAAAAACAAAAAAAAGCTCTCTGAACGTGGAAAAGCTCCCACCCAGAAATTCTAGTAGTATTCAGTTTTGACCTCTTACTGCTTCCATGTGGGGTTTCTTTCAGCTTTTAACCATTAGAATTCTCTACCTGCTATGTTATTCTCTGGAAAATTCCTATTTGAAAATGCTGCCTTTCAAATGAACTCCATGATTATCCATACTGTTAAGTTTGTTGTCGCTGTTTAAGAAGTGTCCCCATTTTACAACTTTATGCACACACCTGGCAAATCATTGACATGAGCATTCAACAGTACTGGGATGGGGTGGGGAGCTCACCAACAGAGCTGGCCCATTGGACAGTGCCTGAAAAGCACCACCTTTGAGGTCCAGATGTGGGGTTGGTAAGCACAGTTACAAAAATTTCTATCTAGCCTCCGTTTTGAATGGTTTTAAGAAATTTTGTATATGGAGGATGGAAATGCTTATATATTTATTGAAAATCCTTTTATCTTATTTGAAATTAAAATTATTTGGTAAATAATCGTTTGATATTTGGGGAGGGTTTTGGAGGGGAAGTAACACCGCTGATTATTAAAAGCCTGTTGATTCTGCAGAAAGGTACTGTTAGTGACTGATAGGATGCCTTTGTTTTGTACATGATCCAAACCTTTGTTTTACATTTCTTTATCCAAAATATTTAGGCATCTGACATTTTCAACCAAAATTTCAATTAACATACTGTGATTTTTATTTGTTGCAATACATTAAAATTTCAGAGGTACTTTGGGGCTCAAAAGCTAGGATTTCTAAGTCAGTATGTGCATTTCACATAATAAAGCTGTTAATGGTGAGCAAAAGTATTATATACTAACTAGATTTTTCCACATCTGTATAGTATATTATATGTATTTTGTGGTATTGAGATTATAGAAAGTTTAGAGTGTCAAACATGCGTTTAATGTGTATTTTTAAACAAATTTATGGCAATTAAAATATTTGGAGACAAGGGTATCACATTTCAATTTGTAAAGATCTTTTTAACTCTACTGTGTCATTAAGATGCTTTGTATAATGCCAAACCATAGCTGGAGAAACTAAGTTTAATAAATATCAAATAGATTTTCTGTATTAAAGTTTATAAACACTGTGCTCTTTACACTTCTTCAACTCTACTTTGCCCTTTCATGCAATTCCTGTTTTGTGTCTTAGGGTCCATTACTACCCTTCTTTAAAGTCTGGTCCCACCAGCTCAGGTCTCATTTTCTGATCACAGAAATTCTGAAATTGCTGGCCATGGGTCCTTGTGCATATGACAAAGTTCGCCCTGCCCCAGCAGAAATCTCAAATTCTTTTTGGTGCTCTTGGTGGCTTGGGCTTTTATTGTTTTAATAAACTAAATTTTCTTCCAGTTTTGCCTTATGTTCAGACAGTCAACCTTGGCCATCTTTGATACCTTGCTGAATTTTTGTTGTTATTTTTAAGAGACAAGGTCTCATTCAGTCATAGGCTAGAATGCAGTGGTGCTGTCAAATCTCGCTGCAGCCTCAAACTCTTGGGCTCAAGTGGTCCTCCCACTTCAGCCTCCCAGGTTGCCGGTAAGCACCACCATGCCCAGCCACCTTTTTAAAAAATATTTTTGTAGAGATGGGTTCTTCCTGTGTTACCCAGGCTGGTTACAAACAAGAATTTTTTCCATGGAGTGAAGGGCTAGGATCCAAGCCACGACTTAGGAGCTTGCCAAGGCTGATTTCATAGTTACTGCTAAACTTTTGCCTTTAACCTGCCATTGTGTTCTTTTTAAGACTCTGGAAAAAATGCTGACTCTCACCACACTTTTCATATTGAGAAGTTAACACATCATTATTAGGCAGTGCTGTTTTTCCTATAGTATACAAAGTGAATCCTTCCCCTCAGAAGCTTGAATTTCAGACTGCTAAAATTTTCATTTGAGATATTTAATAGTATACATAGAAAAATAAACTCTAAATTGACAAGTTTGGTTATGCTTATCCACATATCAACATTTTAAGAGGAAATGGAGACCAATTTAAAGCATACATCTATCTTTAAATATTAAAAATACAAGGTTGCTTCACTTGTGTGTCTCCAGCCAAAATATAGTTAATCAATATTCCATAGAACGGAGCATTGTTGGAGGTGACTGCTGTGCTCTCTTCCCCTGGTATGTACATCACTCCTGGACCACACTTAGGGAACAGCGTCTTTTTCTAGGGGAAGAGAAAAGATGGTTTTTATGACTGAGTCTAAGAGTGAGCAGGGCCTTCTCTGCTACATGTCCTTCCTCTCTGGCTGATTTCTCCAGTCTCGGGGAAGACTGAAGAAAGTCACCCTTCTTTCACAGTACCCATGTGGAGCTGTTCTTGGCTCTTGACTCCTGAGATATTCTCCATGGAGCTCCCAATCTCAGCCCAGGCACCCATTCGTCCCGGCTTTATTCTTAGGGCTGTGTGTCTCCTGATTACTCCTCTGCCCAGCTTCCCAGGGCTCTCTAGCCCAACCCTGCTTCTGGGTTTGTGATGTACCTGCATAGCCTTGTGATACACTCAGAATCATCCTGGCAGGAGGCTCCAATGGGCCTGAGGGAAACCCCTCTCCAAAATGGGGTCATTCTCCGTGGCCGCCTCTTTGGTGAACTCATTTCTGGTATTGGGGAGCCATCTACCTGCAGGGCAGAGACAAATTCATCTCAGATACAGAATAGCCAACAGTCTGCTACACGCCTTGGAAGAATGATCATTCCCAGGATGCTGTAGACTCAGAGCAGGAACCATTCCTCAGGACTGAGTCGAGCTATCAAATTCCACATGCAATTCCACCACCCACTGTCATCTTCACACTCCATACACATACAGATCCTTCTTACCTGATCCAGCAGCAACAGGAAAATCGTGAGCGTTGCCCAGAGTTTGAGGTGCCACATTTTGACAGGAGAGGATGTTGGAGCCTGAAAGCTAGGGACAGTTCACACTTCCTTTTATAAACTGACATTGCCTCTTTCATGGTTGCCGGTCAGATGGGGGCAAAGTTCATATTTGTAATCACGATCGATTTAGTAAGTTAATGTCTACCAGAGGAATGTGCTTAAGGGCTGCCTTTTAGGCACGTTGTATTTACTGATCCCTCATCTGGACTTTGAGTGATTGTGTTGCTGGGATGGACCCTTTCACCCATTTTACCAAAAGTGAGCACTGCCCCTCTTTCCCTTTGAAAGCCACGTGAAACCACTGAGGGAGGCCAGGCAACTAGCCACATTTCTATTCCAAAATAGCTCAGTGAGCTCACTAATAAAAATAGAATCCTAAGAGTGAAGTCTTCAGAAATAATGTTGATCCTTTTCAGTCTTGTGTCAGAAAGAAGCACTGATCTGTTGCGTACAGGCAAGTGAATAAGGCCCTTACACTCCTTTCTGTGGGAGGACGCTTCAGCAAATACGGTCTATAGTTCCCAGATTCTCGTTTGCACAGATAGACTGTTACCCTAATAATTACCTGCACCCGTTCATCTTCCGAATAGAATGAAGACTGAGTTGTAGAAAATGCGAAGTCTGGTCTACTTGCCCTCTCAGGGGAGGGCAGTCAGGATTGATGTGGGATTTATTTAAATCCAAGTGAATTGAATGATTATGGGTTCCTTTTTGTTTTTAAAAACATGCGAGTGAAGAGGTAGCAAAATCTCCTAAATCAGTGGGATAGCGTATGTAGAGACAATATTATAAACCTTGAATTATAGGCTTTCCAGCGGTCGACTGAGGCCTTACCAGAGCCTTGTCTTCAGCAGTCTCAGGGCGGCAGGCATAGAGATAAGATGCATTCAAAACCCCAAATACTTCTGCAGATTCGAGACCAGAGCGAGACATGTATCTAAACCATGAGGAGTTATGGGTAGTCATTAAATGACATGGGCATTTATATAAGTTTAGGGGTAAAGATGTGAATTCTGAGTAAGGAGATCGATAAAACTTTAGATCTTCATATGACTTGGAAGGCTAAGCCAAGACAAATGCAACAAGTTTGTCTATCTGCCTGGTATCTCACTGAAAACTTGGCTAATACCCCTTCCCAAGGCCGTTCTCATTTTCACAGTTTGGGTATTTGGTTAAGAGCCTGCTTGTTCCCATACCCCAAGGTGTAGGTGTAGCACAGCTAAGTAGATCAGGTTGGCCATCAATCCTCCTGACAGGCAAATAGAGGGAAATTCTTGTCAAAGTTATCAAGGTAGTATGATGGACCTCAGAGTTAGGACTGGGTAACATATGTCTCCACAGGTCTGACAGGCCTGATTCTACTCTCGGGACCATGGAACCAGGCCTGGAAGGGACCTTGCCTTTTAGGAACATTAAGAGACCCAGACACTAAGCCCAACTAACCACTCCTGCAGATTTTAGCCTAGTTAGCTGCTCTCTCCCTTCACCCCTGAGGTTGGATACTGGATGACCACAGGTAGGGGCCTAACTGGGAACTTCTGCAGGACTGGGGAGAGGCTATGTGATGACCTACTGAACATTGGGTAAGAACACAGTTGCGATTAGATAAGCAAAAGACTGAATGTCCCAGAGACAGTTGGGTCTGTGGACACATTACCAGGCTCCCCTTCAGCAGCCTAGAGTGACGTTCCAAATGAGATCTGGAAATTGCTCATCCAAAGACGTGTACTTTTCCTAATCCTCCATTTCTGCCTCCCTGTACTCCAAGCAAAATCAAACTAGCCTTTCGTGTTAATTTGTAAAACCAATATCACAGTCAAGGAAAGAACCTGAAGCCCTTGGCCCCCTGTGTGTACAGGAAAGAAGACCAGTCATCCTTATGGGTGTAACACCACTTTGTGGTTCAAGCCACTTATCCTGAAGCCTTTGTGTTTCAAACCTCTTATCTTGTATGCCTGCCCTCTCCCCAAAAGAAAAAACCATTAATTATTGTCTGTGAAAGGAATCACCATTAGGGAATGTATTTCAACATTAATTCTGTAGTTGTTTAAATTAAATATGGAGCAAAAATAAAGCTTTCAGAAGCAAAATAACATCCAGGCAACACAGCCTGAACTGACAGCAGTTGACCACAGCCATCCCGTACTCCTTGAGAGACTGTGAAGGCCTATTCCTTAAACCTTAAAAAGCAAAAATAAAAAATAAAAATAAAAAATTCATGGGCTCTCTGCAATCAAGTATTTTGCTGAATGAATAAGCACGAAGCTCTATGCCCCTTCTTCCAGTAGAAAGGCCTTTACCAGTTTCAACCATAAGAAAGAATGCCTGGCTAGGAGACTGGAGCCTGGGGTCTACATAATGCAACTGACCACAGACTAGCCTTTCCCCTCTGAGCTTTAGTCTCATGTTCTATCAATGACATGAGAGCATATCTTAGACCTCTCAGGCACTGACACTTGGGGCTTCAAATGATTAATTTACAAGAAGAAAATGAGACTGAAGCAGGTTTGATAGCTGAGAGCTTGGTAACTCTGGATACAACTCTCAGGAATTTTCTGCTTCTGAGTTAAGTGCCTAGGATGAAATGGGAGAAAGAGGGTGTAGATACATGAGCAGCTGTTTGAAACACATTCCAGGTAGACAGATCATTAGGAGTTGGCAGTAATTGGAAGCTTTTTTGCTGTCCCTGAGCATGAGGTGCCTAATAAAAGATGAAAGACTGAAATGGAAAAACTTTTCCAGGTAAAGTTTCAACAAAGGGCCAAAGGGTATTTGCTTTTTTGCTAGCTGGAACTGGTACAGACTTCTGGGCCTGCACTGTGGAGACCATATTCACAAACTAGAGAGTACTCTTTTCACCTGAGTCTGCAGCCCATAGATAAAATCCCTTGTGGAAGCAGGAGCTTTTGGAGAAGGAAGGGCAAGTTGAGCAAGTGGTTGTGCTATAGCAGTTGGTGAAGGAGCCACATCCAGGGCTGGAGGCTCCAGGTGAATGGGTTATAGGCATTGAGTCCCACAGCAGCTGTCCTTGCTTCCTTCCAGAACTTTACTCAGGTTCTCCTTATGGATTTCTACAAATAGAATGTTCCCTAAAATGATCCCAGATCCCCTACCACATTCAGGAGCACTGAGCTATGATAACACATTTCACACACCCACTGCTTCAGCACCCCTACCACCCAGGTGAGATCTGTCGCCCCAAGCTTGGAGAGGGAAGTCTCTTGATGAGAGATGGGCTTAAAGCAGTCTTTAATTTTAGCCAAATCGCCCAGCATATCAAAGGGCTTACAGCAGTTAGTAAAACACTCCTGGGAAAAAAAGTGATTCAAACCAGCAGGCTCAATGACTGGTCTGAGCTGAGACTATTTCTTTTGAGCTGGTATCTCCAAAGGTGTCAATCAATCAGGAAGAAACAGTCTAGGGGTAGAACAAGGCTGGGAAGATGGGAGAGGCATCTTCCTAGGAAGCTTGTGGCAAAAGTCAGGAGAAAGACAAACGGCCTGTTTGAAGCAGTTATGCCCCCATGGACTGTGAACCTTTTGCAACTATGCAAGGTAAGGATGGGTCCACAATTTTAATCAAGTCTCAAAAAAGTCTATGACCCAAATATGTTGCAAGACCTGGGAATAAGTCTGGACAAAGAGCCAAGCAGGAAAACCTGGACCATGTCAGTAGGGGGTGGGGTGGGAGTTTTCTGATAGCTGCCCTGTTAAGCCTGTACCATTTTGCCAGACACATTTCACCATCAGCACAACCCCAAATTTTTTTTTTTTCTGGTCAGGATCTTACTGTCATCTAGGCTGAAATGCAGTGGGACAATCAAGGCTCACCATAGCCTCAACCACCTGAGCCAAGGCAATCCTTCCTCAAGCTCTCAAGTAGTTGGAACTACAGGTACAAGCCACTGGCAAATTTTTTGATTTGTAAAGACGAGGTCTTCCTATGTTGCTTAGACTGGTCTTGAATTCCTGGGCTCAAGCAATCCTCCTGCCTCAGCTTCCCAAAGTGCTGGGATTACAGGCATGAGTCTCTGTCCCCAGCCAATCTAAGAACTTTGTATTAACATTAATATTTTATGGGGGAGAAACTTAAGACTTGAGAATGTAGGTTTCTTAGCTGTCTCACAGAGTGAAGAAGTAACCATTTAAGGATATTAGCCCAAGATTATAAGACAGCCTTCCTCCCATATCCTGCCTCACAATTAACGCAACCTATCCTGTGGATTTTTTTGAAGTACTTTAACTTTGGTTCTGAAAGGGAATATCAATCACTAAAATAAGGAAAGATAAAGCTTGAGTCTGACTGAAAAGTTGCTGCTAGCAGGAAGTGTCCTTAAGAGATAAAGTTTCTGAAACGGATTTTAGATCCCCTATCAAGTATAGGAGCACTGAACTATGACAACCCCCTGCATTTCACACCCACTACCTCAGCACCTCTGCCACACAAGTGAGATCCATGCCCCTAAACTCAGCAAGGGAAGCCTCTCTAAAGGACTAGAAGCATAAAACTAGCAACCACACCTTACCCCCATCTGGTGAAGGGAAAACAGACCTTTCACACTAAAATAATTTCAGAGGCTCTAGAGCAGGTGTAAACTTTTTCCATAAATGGCCAGAGTGATTATTTTAGGCTTTGTGGACCACATTAGGTTAAAACGTTATGATTGGAAACAACTGCTATAGAGCCAAGAGGTCATCTCTTCGCTTTTATAGCTGATGTCCCTTCAAACTAAGGCAGGCCAGCCTTAGGAGGAAAAATAGTACAATAAGTCCCCTACATACCCTAGGTACTCAACTAACACAATCAGCTATACCAGCTCCATTACTGCTTTTATACTTGCTTTCAGACATCCTGGGCTTGAAATAAAGATACTGTACTTATGTGTTTACACAGTACTGCAAAGTACACAAAAGCACAACCAATTGTAGAGGATATACACACATGACAACGTACATAAAACATGTGAACTTTTTTTAAATTTTTTTTTTGAGTTGGAGTCTCACTCTGTCGCCCAGACTGGAGTGCAGTGGCCT